ATAATCGACAGCCTACCGAGGATAAAAGGGCTAGTCAACCTCTTTCGCCAAATGTCTCAATTCACACTAACAAACCGGTTGAATAAGGGACTTGTACCTCATACAACCGGTAGGTTTATCAATCTCACAGCTCTCATTCGGTTCGGCTGTTGACCCTACACCAATACGAAAACCCTAAGTGCACTTACTTTTCAGCAAACTGCTCTAGTCCCTGGAACAAGTAGAAACAGCATGAGTACACAAGTACTACGTTATTGAAGGTCTCACTCTTACACTTTGGGAGGAAAGGTGGATGGAACAATTCTAGCGAGTGCTCCGGTAACTGTTTCATGTCAAAAGAAGTTACGCTCGTACTATTTCAGTAGTTTGTTTTCATTGTATGGTACTCTTATGTTTTCTAATATCTGGTTCAATAAATGAATATAAATAAAATAGTTCGCTCTAACATATTGACACCTTTTATAAAAGCTGGTTCGCACGCACATGGAGAATACCCCTTGCGCCTCTATGCAGTCCGTGGAGATCGTAGTTACCAACGATGAGCTACTGCCAATGACTTATCAAAATATGACGAAAAATTGCAGTTGGACAATAAATAATCATCACCCTATTTTCCTATATTTGTATCCTTGTCCTTACGGAGCATTTTTGCAAAAAAAACTATTTCAGAAACCACTCTCTCGCGACAACCTTATAGAAAGCTATATTTTTATTCACAGTGTAAATTATAAAGACAGGTGGTTGCATCATTAAAAAAACGGGGTGTTGAAGTTTTTAAAAATAAAAAACATTTTTTTTAATATCTTGAAAACCGTCAACGAATGAACTAAAATTTGGTATGTGCATTTACCTAAGTATTGTCCACATTCAGAAGTCCTTACTTAAAATTAACGTACACCAGTGGCGGAGATACAAGGGATTAGTGGCATTATTTTTCCAAATAAAAATAGTACGTCACTGTTTTTTCTGGGAACGCGCAATGTTTCGAATTCCACTTTCAATTTTCTACAAAACTGCTACAGAACCCGTACACAAAAATAATATCGACGTAGTCATTGCTACATTCCATTTCACAACACTCAAAAATGGAAAAAAGAAACCTTTGACTTGACTTTTAAAAAAATGGTAGTAACGATAACAGCCGTATAACACATAACTATGAGAAACTATCTCCCAAGAAACGTTAAGTTGGTATCAAGGTCTATTTTATTTTGGAACTAATTGTATCTCGGCTCTTCAAGAATATTATAATTTGTTTTATTTTCATTTTTTTATTTGTCTCCTGTTTTTTCGTTTTCTAGACATTTTGAACTCGCAGTCGTTTTAATCATACGATATTTCGAAAATAGACGTATACTGTATCAATACTTTTAAAAGGTCCAGGGAATTGTATTTCTTCGTAAAGAAACTGGAATACGTGACCTACGTATTTGGCAAAGTCATGCAGTCATCAATAATGCAGTTTCAAACATAACAGTGTCTTCAGTTTGCGTGCTAACTTTATGAACAGTTCAGCGCAATTCAGTATGAAATATTTTTTTTATCAACTCAGGCTCATCAGTGACCGTGCAAAAATTTCAGCTCTACATATGTATAGGTACGCAAGAGTATGAGAAATCTTAAAAAAAGTGTTCACAACAAAAGGTGATAGACACATCCGCTTTGTTTTAAAATGTGTATAACGTATGTTTCTCGAATATCGTAGCGAATCTGTTCAATTACTCACAAATACGAAATGTTTGAATTATTTTAGAAGAAAAAACGTAACCCGTCGTTTTACGCATAAAAATAACATTTTTCTTCCGGAATGGCTTGCGATTCATATCGGCAAGGTATTTTGCTATAAAATACCTTTTGAACTAACCCTGTATTTTGCTCAATAAACTAGTAGTGATGGCCGGAAGAAAGGTGTTTTGGAATAAAAAATTAGATATTCTCAAAAACTACTTGACCAATCTACTCCAATTTTGTTGTGATTATTTTGTCGCAAGTATCCTACGAATTAGAAAATTTTCAAATATCTGCGACAAAAAATTATTTATCAGCGCTTACCTAGTTTACCGTTCTGTTTCACCTTCATAACTGGACCTGAAACAAGTACAAAAATATTTTGAAATTGCCTCTCAAACTAAAGCTATCAAAATAAACGGTTTGGAGCTTGAAACATGTGAAATACATCACTCGGATTCTTTGAAGCAGCATGCATTTCTTGCTGATTGTTATTTTTACATTTTGCTCTAAAAAAGTTTAGTCTATACAACTGAAAAAAAACCCACCTAGTTCTGCTAAGTTTTCCATCTCAACTGGACCCTGGACCTGAAACAAATAGAAAAATATTTTTGAATCCGACATTTTTTTCGAAATGTAGAAGTTGAATCAAAATGTTTGAAAAATATAGGAAAAAGTCAAGTATATTGTACCGGTTTTTAATTTTATCATCTCAATATTTACTGACTGTTCTCTCGAAAACTTTTCCTAAGGTAATGTTGATTTTATCTAATTGATCTGAAGCCAATCTACCTCTCGTGTCACTCTGGCGTGATATTTATGGGACATCCTATATCACACTTTGCCTCCTGATATAAAGAAACTTCACAAACGGAACAAAAAACGCGTGCCTTTACGCGACCTGGTAGCACTGACCGACCGCAAACCCGCTACCTCGAGAACTGAAGCCGCGCAGTACCTTGCCGCAGAATCACCCCTCCTTGCCCCTCACATCTCCTACGCTCGCTACCGATTGGCTAGAGTCGTACTGTTTACGTTGTTTTTCATACATGTACGCAGATTTTTTCTACACAACCGAATCTGTATTTTAGAATATCATATACAGGGCGATAATAATGAAATAATAAAAATTACTAAAATATGTATGTTTAAATGGACATAGGATGCGCATACATTCTAGGACTATCAGTAGTGGAAAGATATGAATCTGTCATTGCAAGGACGTTTTGAATTTTTCGTAAGACAATACAAATTGTATCACCAACAAAAAAACAGTTTTAAAGTACTTTTTGGGCTCAATATCGATCTGAAAGACTGAAATTTCGAATATCTATTACAGCTTATTAATAATAATAACGGAAAATGATCAAAAAACTGTTATAGACTTACGTTGTTCAAATAGGGTTAGTGGCATATAACTTAGGCAAAGAAAAAATAATATTTTTCATTGGTTATCATTGAGAATTACACTTGAATAGTGACTTAATAAAATGCCAAATGTTTTGATTGTGCATGTTTGAATATACCTGGGAAAATTTCCCGTTTTACTAAAAACCAAGCTTATCAGCATAGTTTTGAAACTAAGCAGCAGTTACGAGAATGTATAATGGAAGCATTTGGTATGATACAGAAATGTTTTGAATCCTGAAAATCCTATTGATGTTTAGAAAATAATGGCAACCTATTTCTAATTAGTATTTTCATCATCATTAAATCATTGAGACTATCAACGAGAAATGAATAAAGACAACTTTTTGCATTTGTTTGAAAAGCAACTATTGACGAATTTAAAACGGCCTTCGGTTATAGTTATGGACAATGCACCATACCATAGTACTATTGAGAATAAGGCACCAACTACAGCATCAAAAAAGGAGGATATTAAAAAATGGTTGAACATTAATGAAATTGATTTTAGTCCTGACATGTTCAAAGCACAACTACTGCAGATGGTACAGGAATATAAACCGCCTATAAGATATGTTGCATTAGCCGAACATTATGGACATAAAGTATTACGATTACCGCCCTATCATTGCATTTTTGACCCTATGAAAAATGTTTAGTGCATAACAAAGTACTACTACAACAACCGTGTGGGTCGAAATGGCAGAACTGTAGAGCGCTGTATCAATTTATGGCGAGAAGCTTTAGAAACTGTTACAGCCGAAATTTGTTCAAAATGTATGTATATCACATACTGAAAATGAAATTCAGACATGATGGGAAAGAGAAAAATATCTAGAGCATGCTGACATTTTACCAATTATTATAAATGTGAATGAGGAAAATGGTGATAGCAATTCATAGTTCTAGTGACTAGAACTTTTTTCAAATAGAATATATCTTGCCACTAGTATTTATACGTAAGTCTTCATTCTGAGAATTTTGTATAATAAATACTTTGATCAAATTTTATTTAAATGTTCATTTTTCTTAGAGCTTAAATTATAAAATTGTAATAAAGTTAAAATATGGTTTGAGTGGGTAGTAAAACTTTCAAGTATCTATTTTGAAATTATTCCTTTCCCTGTAGCCTATTTTTTATATTATTTTCCTAAGTAAGCTAATTCCTCCTAGTCACTCATACGCCGGTACTGTAATGTTGGTTGCGGTCCGCCAATGTCACTAGCTCCTAGCATTTACAAAACATAGGCTATGTAATGTTAGTTGCGCTCTGTAATGTTAGTTGCGGTCCATCTCACTAGTTCCAGCATTTAGAAAATATACTCTCTGTATTGTTGGTTGCGCTCTGCGATGTTGGTTGCGGTCCGCCACAGTCACTAGCTCTAGCATTTGCAAAACATACTCTCTTTTGGTTGCGTTCTGTAATGTTGGTTGCGCTCTGTAATGTTGGTTGCGGTCCGCCTCACTAGCTCTAGCATTTACAAAACATACTCTCTGTAATGTTGGTTGCGTTCTGCCATGTTGGTTTCGCTCTGTAATGTTGGTTGCGGTCCGCCACTGTTACTAGATGTAGCGTTTACAAAATATACGCTCTGTAATGTTGGTGAATATACTGCATTTGTCCCACATTTTGCTAAAAATTCATAATTCAGTATGACCACCAATAGTATGTGTAGATTAAATTCCAGGTTGAATTTCGTATACTGGTACATATGCTTAATTGGAATGCTTCGAAAAATTTCTTGCCGTTCCGCATTTACTGAAGTCCATATACAGATCATATTTCTAACTAAAAGAGGCTTTTTAAGCATTTCTAGTAAATACAAAGTATTTTCAGTTTTTATGCTGATATGAGATCTATGACACCTTATCCTATAATAACTCATCTAGTTTTGCATAAAGTTTGCGTTAAGCACGGCAGATTTAAATAAACGGCTTGCAAAATTTTGCAAATTTTAAGGTTGTCTATTTTCTTAATGGGACCAGCTTTGTTAACAGTACTGAGTGTAAAACAGTGTAAAAAGTATGAAGAGGGTGATTTTACATTAAAATTTCGATATCACATGTACAACAAAACTATACAACTTTTTGATGCCAATATATCAATCCCTTTTGATATAGACGAATCACTGAAGGTAATGAAAATGATATGGTAAAAAAGTTGCTTTAATAAACATTTTATCAATCAGGGAAGCGCGAAATGTTCCCGACTGGACAAAAACAAAGCGTTTTTGCATTGGAAGAAAAAGATTTGTGTCATACTCTACCGAAATATGTTGGTGATTTTTTTTATGATATGGAAAAGAAAGCTAAAATGCCAGTAGGCATCTGTCCTATAAAAAGGGTAAGATTTTGCATTTAATTCCTGAATATCTTCGTTTTCAAAGGCTCTTCGTCTAGGCTTGTCTTAGTAACTTGACTTTTAGGGTAACTATACAGTTGAAAATGCCTTTATAGACTTGGAAAAATTCAAGATAAAAATGTTTCTCGAAGGTAGCTTTTACGCAAAATTGGAATTTTCGAAAGGACCTAGAACCCTTGGTTGCATGGAGGATGAATTCAAGCTATCACCAAAGTAAGCGGTGAGACAATAAAACACAAGTCAGGATGAGAATCAAGCACACATTTTTACCTTATATTCACAATATAATAAAGTTTTCCTTTTGACATCTTTTTGAGTGTTTATTACGAGGATTATATACGAATGAACGTTGTTAACACAAGAAAACCACGTAACTCCACTTCATATGGCGTTCAAAATAGGAAAAACACGTAATTCCTAATTTTACCTTTAATTCATCACAATAATGCTATCATTACTAAAACAATATAATGTATAACTCGATTTGTTTTTACGCTTTCCTCTGAAATTCTTAGAAACGGAGTTACGATTTTTTCTTGTACCATCGACGATAAGTAATTCAAATGCACACAACATAGGAGAAAGAAATGGATTTATTGATGGAGCAGAATTAGTATTTTCGTCATCATTAAATCATAGAGACTATCATGACTACAAGAAAACTTTTTGTAGTGGTTTGAAAAGCAATTATTGAAGAAATAATAAAGCTTTACAAACTGTTACTGCCTAAATTTGGTCAAAATATCTAGACCAAGCTGACATTTTACCAGTTATTATAAATGAGAGTGAGGAAGATAGTCATAGCAATTCAGAGAGTTCTGGTGACGACACCTTCACGAACAGGGCTTTAAGAGGATACATTTGTTTTTGCCTATTTCTTTCATGGAAAAAAACAAAGTTTTACTATATAAACATATTTAATATCTATGCGATCTAAAATTACATGATCATTAATAGGAGAACTATGATTTTCACGTTCTGTTCTATTTAATAGGGGAAAATGGTTTTTTGGTGACTGCATTCGCACTTAGGTGAGGGAAACCCCTAGAAAACCTCAACCGTCACTGCTCAGATTAACTTATCAGGTGCAGAAAAATCAACTCGTTCCACAATTTTGAGTTCATTCGTACAATCGAAAATCTATAATTCGCCAGCATGCCACAATTTATAACCTAAAATAAAAAATAGCATTGAACTAACGGTTTATGCGAGGGTCATATTTTAAGTAAGAACCATTTTGTAACCGAGTCAGAGAAATTTTATTTATGAATTGTATCACAAACTAAAATATGAACGTTTTTTTCATTTTTTTAACATAGCCACCATAAAGATTCGAACACAAGTCAAGTCGTGGCACCAGTTACTGGTTAATGTAGCATCTGAAACTTATCCTGTGGTTTTCATGTCGATAATCCTCCATGTTTCTCTGATAATTCTTTATTGTAAACGTTTCCGTGACAACTGTGGCAGTACAATGACTCTGACAATATACAGGGTGTTTCAGAACTAAGGTATCAAACTTCTAGGGGTTATTCAGTATAACAGTAGAAAACATTTGAGTACAGGGACCCATGAATTGCCTAAATAGGATCTAATGCATTTAATTTTGCCTTTCTACTGTTACACTGAATAACCCCTAGAAGTTTGATCCTTTAGTTCTGAAAAACCCTGTATTTCATTTATCTATCTTCCAGGTGAGCCTTTGTTCGTTTTTTCTTTTCATTTTCAGATCCCTATACAGTGTGTTACTACAATACTGTGAAAGGTCTTGTAACATGCCGAGATCTTTAGATGGCACCACGCATAAGCAGCATAGCCCAGGACAGCGCATAAAGACCAAAACAATTTTTTTTTTAAAGCATTGAACACATCAATAGAATTGATCATTTTTTAAGGAAAATGGATGTGAAACTATAAGAAATCGTTTTTTTGCAGAGGAAGGTTGAAAACTAGCCGTGTAATGAGCTAGAATAACAGTTCAAAATACATACCGTAAACGATAGTACATATTTACTTGGTAAACTGTGTAGAGGTGTTGCGTTGTGATTTTTCAATGTCTTCTTGAAATTCCTTAACCATTTTTTTCGCGTAACGTAAATGAGATCAAAGTTTTTGCGTTTATAAGAAATTTATGAAAGTAGAAACAATTTTTTATAGCGGCCTAGTGAGAGGCTGGCCAAGAGTGTCTGAGAATGAACGGTCACGCTACTGGATGTGCAAGTGGTTCTTACTTTAAAAACGCCCCTCGTAGTTCACTGACATCTGTCTGATAAGTTGTTAGAAAAATAAAATTTGGTGAGAGCTTTCTTTTATGGTGCCGTTGCTTTTTGCAATAGGCGCCAGAAGTTATATTTCCTGATATGATTGACTTATCGGGTAAGACGTCAGTGAAACATGAAGAATAAATAAGTTCAAGATTATGTAAAAAATACCTGTCCATGATTTGGATTATCAATTCAGTTGATATTCATATAACTTTTTGTCTCATCGTGTTAGTTTCTCAAGTATGTCCCTTAATTCCTTCTTAATTTCTTCCAAAGTTGTATGAAAATCGTGAACACCTTTAGAAGCTTTTTCTTGGAGCCTGGCTGTATTTCGTAAAGCTTCATCAATATACTGGTAGTCGACCATACTACTATTATACACAGATTTATCTACAAAGAGAGTTCCCATAAGTATTCTCATTTAAATAACACCTCTGCTATTTTGAAACATCAAGTAGGTTGACTCTGTATTTATTTATTTATTTAAGTATAGTGTGAGTGGAAAGATTTAGGTCTTCTTAGGGTAAGGGTAGAAAATACATCTCTTGGGAAGGTTTACAAGATCCTTAACAGTTCTATCTATACTTCTCTGGTTCGTCAAAACCAACCTTCTTGATGCCATACTCTCCGATGCTTACCCTGTACAAATTTTGATGTTCGTTTTCATGTATCGGGCCTTTAATTATTGTTAACATGTTTCTATTGTTCCTATTCAACTTCAATCCGACTCGTGTATGCTCAGTAAAACATTCATCCAGCAAACCAGGCAGAACATTTTTTGGAACAGTTCCCTATACAAATCACTATCATCAATATTGATTATCTCACGTTTGCCATACCTGAAATTGGGGGTGTCCCCCCTCTAAAGCTTGATAAAAATATTTGAGCTATGATTCTGAAAGAAAACAAACTTTTTGAACAGCAGTTCTGTAAAATACGTAAAAATAAGGAATGTGCAATAACACTTTAGCTGAAAATAGACATGTTAGTCAAATATGTACCTAATAAAAATAGTAAATACTAAATGTAAGCTAAAATTAAAATTATAATATATCATTATCATCATTATTTATCATTGTTCATCAACATTCCTGAAATACGAAACGTTCTCATTATCACCTGAAAGCTGAAACAACTAAGAAACACACTTGCGCTACGATTTTAAAGCATAAATAATCATAGACAACATATGAAATACGTAAAAATAAGAATTGTGGTAACCTATTTTGCTTATAAATATATTTTCTCAACAAATAAAGATCTTTTATCCAGCTGTCGATAGTAAAATAAAAGTAGTGATTACCAAATATAATTTAAAAAACATATAATCATAAATATAGTTTTGGAGACCATCGCGGGGCCACAGCCTGCCTCATACCTGTAATGATCTACTACTAGCCCATCTATCACTAAGTATTACCAGAACTACTACTGCTACTACTGCTACTACTACTACTGCTACTACTACTACTACTACTACTACTACTACTACTACTACTACTACTACTACTACTACTACTACCTTCTTTTCTGGTTACTTAGCATCTACGGACACACTTACGAAACCTGATCTTTTCACTTATCTCATCCTTGAGAAACAATGGACGATTTTATGTCAGCCACGTGTTTTCCAAGACATCTCTTCGAAAATGATTAACCACACGAAAATACCTCTTCATTATTTCAATAATCATTTCAATTGAAGAAGTATACTTTTTGGCCTCAGAATGTTAGCTTCCCAAATATGTCGCAGGATTTAGTCAAAAGCTGTATGAAAATCTTCAACATTTTTAGAAGCTTTTGCTTGTAACCTGGCTGTAAATATTTCGTAAGGCTTCATCAATATATTGACAGTAGACCATACTACTATTATCCACAGGTTTATCTACAATGATAGTTCACATAAGTACTCCCATTTAAATAAGACCTCTGCTTATTTTGGAATATCAAGTAGGTTGACTCTTTATTTCATGGATAATAGCATAAATATGAGTATAGTTTGAGAGGAAATGTTTTAGTCTTCTTAGGGTAAGTTTTGAAGATATATCTCTTGGGAATGATTCCAAATCCTCAAGCTATCTATACTTGAGTGGTTCGGGAAATTCAAAACCAACCTTCTCGATGCCATACTCTCCAATGCTTACCCTGTAAAAATTTTGATGTTTATTTGATTGCTCTTTGATGTATAAATCGGGACTTTAATTATTCTTAACATTTTTCTATTGTTCCTATTCAACCTCTAGCTTTATCCATCAACATTCACCCAGGCAGAACATTTTTTGAAACAGCTGCCCATATAAATCATTATCATCGATAATAATTATATCACGTTTATCACCTCCTCCCTCAAAGCTTGAAAAAAATATTTGGGTTATGATTCTGAAAGGAAGCCTGAACGTTTTCGGACAGTAGTTCTGTAAAATATGTAAAAATAAGAAATGTGCAATCACATCTTATCTAAAAATAGATGTTCGTGAAATATGTACCTAATAGAAATAGTGAATACCAAAAGTAATTTAAAATTATAACATATCGTTTATCATGAATATTTAGCATAGTTCATCACCATTCCCGAAATACGAATGTCCTCAGTCTCACCTAAAGCTGAAAAAAAACTAGAAAAACACTTGCGCTACGATGTTTAAAGCATTAAATACTACTTAGCAGATAGTCTTTTCAATTATGGATCCCTGGTTAACAGCTCGGCCATGGACCCAGGGGAATTCCTTCCTTAACTTTCCCCTCTGGAAGGGCATCATGAAGAGTTGTGTGTATCCCTCGACGACGCGCCCCCACGTCAGGGTGCCCAAACCAAATTTCCTAACATTTCCCTAGCTACTCTCTACTCCCGACCACTTAGTTCTCTGACGCAAACATTTTTCTTGAAGCTTATTATATGTCAATTTCGATTCTCTCTACTTTTAAAGTTTGCAACCGTTTTGTTATTTTTCCTAACTCTTCAACTGA